CTCGGCTCACTAACCTTAGGAAAGGAAAAGAGTGGACAGCAAACTTTTGACTAGAATGATTCAAGATCAAGATAGCATCAAGGTTGAGTTCTTCATCAGCCTTGGCTTAAAGGTGTTGACTCCACTGTCCTTACATGGTCTTTCCAATGTGGCCCCTCACAAGTGGAAGAGTGTGGAAAATGTGAAGCGAACCTGCACTGGTTCTAAGAGCCCCAGCTTGGAGGTGGCATTCCTATCACCACCGCCATTTACTCAGTCAGAGCAGTTCCTCTGGCCTGACATCCACACTTTGAAACTGGTGAGGCTCCTTCATCAGAGAATTATTGTAAATTCATTTCACTGAGTGTAGCTGCAGAATCCCACTGTAGGGAAACAGGAAGTAATGAACAATCTACCGTAAGCTAAGTCTGGTGTTCCAGAAACTCATCATTCATCCAGGTTATCAATGCCAAGTCAAGGATGTGAGCAACAAAACTTTTGTCATGTTTGCAAGATACTCAGGAAATATTAGCAAAATACATGAGTTAATTTTCAACTCTAAGAGTTTGTGTTACTAAGGAAACAGAAAGTACACGGAGATTGCCTTCTACCAAGAGGATTTGTTGGAAGGTGTAATTAGAATTAATGGAACAAAAATGGTTTGCTGTCACTTCACAGAGCTTGATGATTTTAGACACTTAGAAAATATTTAATTGATAATAAAGCAGCTAAGACAGAGGTTAGCAAGACATGATAAGGAGAGTCGGCCATTGTTAAAATGATGAGGATCCTAGCCCTCACCCCACCGCACTCCACATACCTCACTACTATACCCGTCTTACTCTCCCAAGACTCCTTAGTTCTAGCGTTGACCCTTGTCTTCTCTAAACCTCCACATACCTTCCCGTAGTAGATCATAATCAACTGTGTCTCATTGCTTGTTACTCTACATTAAAACATGGTAGATACATGGGGCACCTGTTAGCTTCTACTCTCTCATGCTTCAAAGGCACTGATCATCCAGACTTCTAACCCCAGGGGCTGGCTTTGTCCAATGGTGTAATTGCTTTTGTTTTGTCTGTCCTTTTCATCCAATGTGAGATCTACGGTAATGGGTCATTGACTCCAATTGACTTTTAGAAGTCTGCAGTGATGGTTAATTGTGATTGTCAGTTTGACTGGATGAGAGATGCCTAACAGGTTAGTAAGGCACACTGCCAGGAGTGTCTGGGTGGGTCTTGTTGACTGCACCTGGCTTCTGGCCCCTTTCTACCTGAGACCCTTCCCCTATTACTCTCTTCTTGCTAGCAACCATGAACTAAGCAAGTTTGCTCTGCCAAACCTTTCTTCTATGATGTTTGTACTTTGGAACCAAGCAATCATGGACAGGACCCTCTGAAATTATTCATTTAAACCTCTCTTCCTTCAAGTTATGGGTGTCAGTTTGTCCTTGTGATAGGTTAGTTACCAGTGCATCCACTATGAGAATATAGCACAGTATGTTCAGCCGTTCTATCTAAGCTAAATATCTGAATAGTTTCTGTTTGGGAGATGTAATGAATAGATTTACCGTGATCATTCAAGCTCCTATTTGAGGGAACCTAAATTTATATGTTTCCTTAGACCAGTATCTAGGGCTAGAACAAATGGGTCATAAGGTTTGTACATTTAGTCTTTTTCCAAAACGGCTGTACCATTCTCCAGACTAGGTTTAACTTCATCCATTAAAGCCTTTACAGTCTGCACAGTATTTTCACAAGAATGTTGACTAAAACTGAAGTTCTGATTCCTGAACTGGAGCTTTTTTTCCATTCACTAAACTCTGATCCTTCTTTCCATCCTTCCTCTCTTCAATACTACCCTGCCTCTTCCTTGTAACTCCTTGCTAGGTATACATAAGCTATGTTCCCCTGGGTAACTTTTTGTTTCAAAGTGAGTAACAGATGACTCCAAATAAGTTTAATTGTGGGACTTTTAGGTTTCATAAAAGAGCAGTCTGTCAGATGAAACCGGAAAGATGAGAGAGAGAGAGATAATTCCATCACAGAAAAATGTTGGGCAGAATTATTCAAATCCCAAATGGTAGTGGATCTGAATAAGCCATCCCTGATAAAATACAACAGAAAATAGAAAGCTCATCTTTTATCGTATGAACTTTATGACAAATACACCGGCCAGCTTTAAGCACTGGCTTCTTCCAGTTGATACATGGGAATCAACAGGAACCTCAGCGAAGAAATTAAACCCCAGCACTTGTGTCTCCATCGATAAGGGCAGGTCGAGAATCTTCTTCTGGCTTCTTGCACCTTGCCTGTGTCTAAGCCCAAGCTATGAAGAATCTGAGCAGAAAAGTTTAAGAAAGATGACAGCGGGAAACCAAGCCCCAACCTCCTGACTGCCCTCCTACCTGTTCCTTGATCCTGCATCAGAAGTAGAGAGAGTGATTTTATATTAAAATTTAGATTATTTTCATTGCCTGGATTTGAATTTAGCTGAAGTTAAGGGTACTAATTAATTGTGAATCACTCCAATGCTGGAGTATAAGGCCTCTTGAGCTTAATGTGCAAATTTATGTAAAAATAATGTGAAAATTACAAATGCATTGGCACATTTTTTTAACCAGAACTGTAGCACTCTGTCTCATCAGGCAGACTGCTCATTTGCAGGTTGTCTATATGCAAAGCACTCTGCCCCTGGGAGCCTAAAATCTCCTTAGCAAGTCATCTGAAATTTGAGAAGAGCATTGTTCTGAACCTGCTTCCTGCTCTCTTCACTTTCTCCTCTCTGCCTTTAGCACTGTGAGCAAGAAAGCTAAGTCTGGATCACACTTCTTAACCCAGCCAGCAGGCAGAGGCCAAATCTAGAGACCCAACTGGTCCATCCACCTGAGTTTGGACACAGATGACTGACCTCTGTTCCTTCCTATCTTGAGCCCCGAGCATTGGTTTTGCTCTACAGCCTTTTTCAACTTTGGAGAGCTTCCCAAAGCCCAACCCTCCCAATCTGCAGGACTCAGATGTTCTTTGAAAACAAGACCTGCTCAAGAAAGGAGTTCATTGCTCCTAGGTCCTGGATGATCCATGTGACTTTTATCTATTTGAGTTGTGAGAAAGCAAGGCAGAAAGGTGGAAACTGATCAACTCTGCTCAGAACCATCAGTTTCACCCTCCCCAGGGAAGAGCCAGCTGGCAGATTACTCAGGTGCAGCAGCAGGGGCTCACCTGCCCTGCAGTCTGCGTGTGCCTATTGAGGAAGTGAGCCAGTCAATACTAGAGATGCTGGAAGAAGCCAACAGGGCAGGATCACATCATTCTACACCCAGGCCTTGGAAACTGGCTTCCTCAGAATTTATCTAGATAATCATTTAGCTGCTGGGGTGAAGACCAGGTGGGAGAGACAGCAAGATCTCCCAGGAGCCAGCAGGCAGCAACCCAGTTCTGATTCTAGGTAGAGAAGGGTTGTAGAACTAAGGGAAGTCCACCTATTCCAGGAAAGACAGACAGAGTATCATGGCACCTGAAGTGGGCACTGCCAGGACAGGAGCCACACCAACAAGAAATGTGAATAACTGCTACCTTACGGAAAGGTTCCAAATAGCTCATTCTAAAATTAAACAGGCGTCATCCCCAGGTCCCCAGCCACCAGGATATGGGACACTATTTTCTCCTATACCTGGCAGCCAACATAAGCACCACACCTCGGGGTGACTCACATGATGAGAAGGCCTCTCTAACCACACAGCAATTCTGCACATCCAGCTGCCTGCAGTTTAAGCAGCTGTTGTCATAGAATCTACAGCCTGACATTCACAGTGAGGTCCCCAGATCAGTAGAGTCACCACTGATTGTGAGCTTGTTAGAAAATAGAATGTACCCCAAGCTCCCAGCATCACAAACTGGATTTTAAGTGCCAGGGACACTGAGTTCTAAGCACCTCATTCTAAAGATTGACTCCAAATCTCTACCAAAGTCAAACCAACCATTGTCTGCTCAGAGGTAGAAAGAAGAGTTCCAGCCCTCCCGGTCCCCACCTTGAGGCCTTCTAAGAAGCACTTCATTGCCTCCCCTCAGCCTCTCTCCTCAAATGGGGACGCTAATCCTACATAATCTAAGATGAGGACCTGAAAGGAGAAATTCATCTTACATTCAAATTCATCTTACAAATTATGAATCTCAATTTAAATTAGCATTCACTCATATTCCTGTGTGCTGTCTTGACTCAATAATTGGATCATAAACACCAGAGAACAGGACAAAGTCTCCTTTCCCCCTTTGTTATGTTCCCCTATATCTAAGAGCAGTGTTCCACCCATAATGAGGGTGACTGTTAGACATTTATAATGACCCATCTCTCTTAGTGTTCCTCTCCCTCATAAAAATTTTTCTAATTCCAATTCCTGATTCTAACCACAAAAAGATCCTGTCACTTTGACCTAATGCTCTGAGGTTCATCTCTCTAAATAATTGTATTGTCTCCAGCTATAAAGCACTCTGTTGCTATGGCAACACATGCATAATTGCCAGGCAAAGTAATTGAGGGTGGTTCTACAAGTCAGACTCCTTCCAACCAGAAAACAGTCTGTCCTCCCTGTGTGTCACTGTCCCATAGGTTTATATCAAAGCCTTAGAAGCTTCTCAAACTTGCAAATGTTTGTAGTCCAACACCAGAAATCAGAATGACACAGTAGGAAAACCATGAGGGCAGGAAATCAGAGATCTTGGTTCTAATGCAGTCTGACTGAAATCTAATTGCTAATATCATTTGGCACAGGTTACATGGCTTTTCAGAGTCTCAATCCTCTGTATTTAAAGAAAGATAAGTAAGTATGCCTTCCTACAACTCAAGCCATGACAGCAGATTTTAATTTTCACTTCACTGAAATTATTCAACAAAACTTCCCAGCATTAAACATTAACACAGCTGTTTCTCTGTGAACCATTCATAATCATTCCAATAAATGATTAATTACAACTTCTGTTTGGGCCAGTAATTTTGCTGGACTTCTATGATTCATCATTGGTGGTATGTTGAAATGTTACCTACCTCTCGAAACTGACATACTAGCATTTATTTTTTATTGCTTTACTTGGGTGGCTTTTCAGAGAGACACCTAAAGCCACTTGTTTAAAAGGCATTTAAAAGTTTGAAGTGGTGGAAGTAAGCATTACTTACCTGAGCCAGCCGCTGAGAGCAGAGGACTCGTGCCATCATGGACTTCACCACTGGAATAGCGAACCTCACAAGGACTAACCTTACAGTCTGTCATCCCAATGCGTCAGTCTGTGAAGGTGCCTCTTGTGTGGCCTCCCAGGAAAATGTCAATGCCCTTCTCAGCATAGTCCTGAGTATTGTTTTGACCATCCTGCTGGCCTTGGTTATGTTCTCCATGGGCTGCAACGTGGAAATCCAGAAATTCATAGGGCACATAAAGCGGCCGTGGGGCATACTGATTGGCTTCCTCTGTCAGTTTGGAATCATGCCTCTCACCGGCTTTCTCCTGTCATTGATCTTTGGCATCCTCCCTGTCCAGGCTGTGGTGGTGATCATCATGGGCTGCTGTCCTGGAGGATCATCCTCCAATGTCCTGGCCTATTGGGTAGATGGTGACATGGACCTAAGGTAAGAGATTTGCATCTCCAACTATTGTAGTCATATAGGGTTCATCTTTGCAAAAGACCATGGTATTCAGTGTGTACATCTGGTCTACCACTGATTTTAGCCATGACTAAGGAATTAAATGGGAAAGAATAAATGCATTTCAATGCCTTCCAGCTTAGCTTCTTAGATGTTAGAATTGGGGGGCTTTAGTTTATTTTTGTGCTTTTAAATCTAAATTGGGTAACAGAGAGTTGCATATTTGCTAATTATCTGTAGGAAAAGCCAAAGTCTATGGAAAAAATATTTTCTAAGCCACAAGGCATAACTGAGAAGTTAATGAGGATGTCAGAAGACAAACCTAAATTCAAACTGGGCTCCACTGAGAAGACTATGGAGAGACAATGGTCGGTCGGTTCCACTATAAAACCGCATCCTTAGGCAAAATCTTGTTGTAAAATCTGAGGAAAAATTCATGATTTGCTTTGCCTCTACTGGCATAAAAGAAATACAAACAGGAAGTTGTTCCTCTGCTTCCCACAGAGCAAGCCAAAATTCAGTGTTTGCCCAGCTCATCCTGGAAACAGGGTTGAGGAGAGGGAAAAGACTAATAGTTAGAGGAGGCAGCATGCATGGGCCATTTATAGCCCAAAATTTTTAGTGCTGAAAGCTGAACAAACAAATGTGTCATTCCTCACTGTGCATTCTTCATTTTAGCAGAAGGCATGCATTTTTGCAAACTATCCAGGTGCTGATGATAGATATACTTATTAAATATTGCAGGGTGGGTGATCAGCTCTATTAATCCCCAGCTACCATGTACAGAAGAAAGAAGCTCCAAGTGTAGACATGCTACTGTTGGACTGATCAAGTGCTTTAGTAGCAATTAGAAACCTGCTATTGTGTCACTGCTGGTGCTGATTTCCCCAGAAGTTTTAGACAAGTCTGAAACATGATATGTTTTTATCCTACTCGTTTTTGTGTTAGGAAATACACAGCATCTGCCTTGCAACAGGTGTCTTTTTTTTTTAAGACAGTGTCTAGCTATGCAGTTCAAGCTGGTTTTGAGTTCACTTTGTAACCCAGGCTGGTCTTGAACTTGCAACGATCCTCCTGCCTCAGCTTCCTGAGTGCTGAACAGGTATCTTTTTAAGATATCTGTAAAAGAACTCAAGATGGAAAGCGTTGTTTAGGCTCACTTAATCTGTGAACCCCAGCAGAGCAGTAAGTTCTTCCTAAAGTTTGGTTTAGTTTGACCTGATTCTGCAGTGAGGATTCTGAAAGTAATCAGAGTGAACTTAGAGGTGAGATCAGACTTCGACCTCCGCTAGCCAGCTTTTGCGCATTCATAAATTTTTCAGCTTACATTCTTATGCTTTAACAAAATGACCCCACCTTATTGTGATGCCATAGATAGAAAACACTATATGCGATGCAGAACTTTTGTCTGTTGAAATGAGTTCTCCACTGCAGATTATATTTTAGCATCAAAAATAATATTCATTACAATGATGATAATCACTGAGACGGCGTTAATCATGTGACTATGTAAGATGACCTTGTGTGTACATTGCATATGTTAGGGGAAATATTCAAATATTTCTTTAAAACAAAATGAGTGAAACTTCAGAACATGGGCAATAGTCTTTCAAAACATTTTATTCTCATGGAGAAAATACAGGATACTTTATGCCTTCTGAAAATGTACTTAGATACAATCCTCTCCACTACTCATATTTCCATTTCTGTCCTCTCAACATTACTTTCTCCCACCTCACTTGGAGCTCCAGCGATGGCTTGAAGATATGGTTAGCTAGGCTAACAGATTCCTGGGCCATTGAGCTAAGGCCACACATTCCACCTGGCTCTAACTTTCTTAGATGTGGGTGCTAGGCGAAAAAACCAAAGCATTGCTCGCTCCTCCACTATGTTCCCTGAGATGACAGCCATTGTGTTTTACAACCTCTTGTGATTTTACATATAAATAAATAAATAACCAAACAGTCTTTCCATGCACAAGAACTTTCACCTATGAAAGCTGTGCGGTGGGTATCAGGAGCACAAAATGGGAAAGCGAAGGAGACTCTTCAGGCAGATTTGCTGGTGGCCAAGGCCCAGGGACTCAGAGACACAGAGCACCCCTACCTCCTTCATATATGTGCTATCCTCAGACGCAAGGAAGTATTTTATCTCTCCAGCCTTAGCAATGGCCTCAGCTCCCACACGCAGACTTCATTTTCTTTGCTTTGACCTCCTTGAGGAATCCATTGTCATGCCTCTTTTGCTAGGTTGTCCCCAAAACCTTCACCAACTGCTACTTTCTACAGTCCTTATTTTCTAGGATTCCTATTTCATAGGTTTTCCTACCACATCCTTTATTGCTGTCCAGACACTATGACATTTTTCATCTTTCAGTTCCATAGTCAGTGTTATTTTAGTTGTCCAAAATTCCTGAGCTTCTGGATTATCACAGTTCAAAGAAACCCTCTCTCTTCAACCACAGAAGCATCCACCTTGGACTCTTTCCCTTATCCTCCCTGTATTTTAGTCACTAATGTATATTAGACACTGTAACATGCCAGGAACTCACAGTACTAAGTACTCAAAATGCTTTGGGGTGAACTTCCAGAGAACCCTCTGAGGTCAGTACCATCATTTTCTGCATTTGGCTGATGATAAAAATAAGGTTCATAACTTTAACCAGTGCATGTTTGGGGTCACCATTAAAATCCAGCCCTATATACTTATCTCTACATCATTTCTGCATTATTTACTCTGCATTATTTCTATACTTATTACTTCTCATACCATCTATCTACACTTCTTCTGAGACCTGAAACTTGCTATTCCACTTCTAAGTGATTATATTATTTTTCAATCTTTATCGCTGATTTCACTGAATTTTCATTTATTAGCTGCTTTTGTCCCTCCCCCTCCCACCACACACACACATAAAAATTCTGCCTCCATAGAATAAAGCTAATTCCAAGAATTAAAACCAAAAGATTCTTATTTTTCTTAAATATTGATATTTTTCTCATTTCCAATATAAATTCATGGTCAGATTTCCATTTTTGACATGCATGCCCTTTGGAGAAGTGGAGATTTTCCAAGCAAAATAAATTTTTTATTTTGCTAATTTATTCTCCAGCATTGTTAATTAATATTCTCTCTGAATTATTTTAATATTGTTTGGAGTGCCTCGGCTTTGTTCTTGTTACTAGTTTAGAAAGAATCCACCAATCACCACCTTTTCTCTTGTCTGTCTGCAAATTCTTACTGTCCATGTCTGTTAAACGGAACCCATTTCTCTTCCAACTTCTAACCTGCACTTCCTCATGGCCTTTAAGAAACTTCTCCCACCAAACTCGGTGCCGTAACTGGACTTCTTAAACTGTCTGCATTGTAATTTGAAACTGAAGTTTTCTGGAGAAAATTTAAAAGAAAAGCAGAAAAAAATCTGACTCCCTTCTAAAAATTGTTCCACCCATTTAAAACAAGCAGGTCTGACCTTCTTTCTCTTCCCCACGCTGTGAGGCAGGATCCCTCCCTCCCTCTCTGCCTGTCCCTCTGGCCAGAGACAATGTGTACAATGCACAGGAAGAAAGGAATTTTACTATGGAAACAAACTTCAGTCGCTGTAATGTATTTTTTAAATTACAGATAAGAGAACGGCCAGAGGAAAAGGAAGAGTGGATAAAGCATTTAGAAGTTTCAGTACTTTAGTTATAATAAGTAAGACAAAGCACTGTTTGTAACAAATGCACTTATTTTTCTAGTGCAGGACTACCTATGTGTCTTATTTTTATATAAGTTAGATTAACCTATGATGGTAATGGCTTGAACTTCTCAGAAAGTGTTTTAGGTGCATTTTTGGTTATCATTAAAATATTTTAGCTCTACTAATACAGGTATTGTTACTTGACTCTTTTAAATCTAACTTAAATTACTTCATTACTTGTTTAAAAGAAAATTAGAAGATTAATAGCTTATCAAAACTGTACATATTTCATTATTTACACTGAAATTAAATTCATTATCTTCATCTACTTTGTTTTGCATAGTATAGAACTTTTTATTTGGAGGAATGGTCAGGTAGTTGAAATATTTAGCCTTTTCCTCCAGGTACACAGATAGCACCCATTAGAAATGACTGAATAATCTGAATGCTGCAGCTAGGAAAGAATCTTCCAGAGAATTGCTGTATTTGCTAATGGTGTATGTAGAAGACGAAACACATACACTTGCAGTCATAGGAACCCTAACAGTAACTGGCTCGCAGCGAGAGTTTGGGTTATTTTCCACACTGGACACCGTTAGCTCATCACTGCCTCCTGCACAATCTGTGAGACAGCTGTGATGATGATCTCCATCACAGATAAGGAAAACTGGCAAAAAGAAGTCAAGGGACTCTCCCAGAGCCACCTATTAAGTCATACTGCCCTTCCCCAATCCAGTCAACAAGTGGCTTTAGAGCCTCAGCATTGAATCTGCTCCCCGAAACTGCCTTCCACCCACCATCACTGTGCTGAAAGTAACTACATCCAACAGCGATTCCTCCATACCAAAATCCACCTACTTGACCAAACACCTCACTAAAATACAAGTGCTTTAATCAGGACAATTCCCAGATCTTCATTCCTCTGAACACACATTTAATTGCTAAGGATGTACTCAGTATTAAGAATCCTGCCTCCCTTGGTTGCAGAAATGTTTTGCATTTCTTTTTAAAATCCATTTTGCTTCTCTGGCTCTGGCCATTTAGGTAATAATTCGACTGTTTATAGAAAGACCATGAGGCCTCCTTCACCAGATATGTATTCTCCTCCAAGGCCCCAGGAGGTCCATCTCAACCAGCAGAAACAGATGCCCGAAGGCTCCTGGAGTCTTGACTGGTGTCAATGTGCTTGCTGTGGGAGGTTTGACAATGGTCATCCAGGCACTTTGTGCCTTAACAATTGGCTTAGACATTCTAAAATGCTCCATACCCATCTTTCAGAGCAAATCAAGAGGCAAGGTGAATGCGTGGCAGGGTAGAAAGATACCAATATGGCTGATTTTGCCCAAGGCCAGCTCTGCACAAAGTTGGACACATGTATGTTTCTGCCCATCACACAGCTAGTGCTGCAGGTTGGGATAAATTCTTGCAGAGTTTTCTGGTAAGGGGCTGAGAGTGAAGCAGCCTCTTCCCTGAAAAGCACCAGGGCACCAGTCAACCCACCTATTGCCTTGCAGCGTCAGCATGACCACGTGCTCCACACTGCTTGCCCTGGGGATGATGCCACTCTGCCTGTACATCTACACCAAAATGTGGGTCGACTCTGGCAGCATTGTTATTCCCTTTGATAGCCTAGGTAAGTCGCTCCTTGGCAAGACTGTTGACTGTCGCCCTTGCGCCCTCTGCTTAGTCTCCACTAGGTCCTCAGGCCAGCCTCACACCTAGATATTACTTAGTGGCAGTTTTCACCCAGTCAGACTTTCCTTCGAAGTCACCTTGGCCTTTGAATGACTCCAAGCCTTGAACTCACGAGACAAACTGATTTTTCCTCATTGAGCATTCCTAAGAAAAGAGCCAGTTTCAGGAGTCCCCATCCCTCAGCAGCTCAGGATGCTCATAGAAGGCAGTCTTCATCTTTCCTCTATGCAACAGCAGAGCTAGTTCACATGAATGGCAGTTCACACGTGGACAATGACACTGAGACTCACAGAAAGCTCATGTGATGTTTCAACATAGAAGCCCCGGAAAGTAATGGTGAGTGGCACCATCAGGAGCTACCAGGTGGGACTTAATGTTAGGGACCCTCAGATGTGAGTCGTAGCATCATAGAAAAGTCGGTGGATATGCCTCAGAATTTAAGTTTGCCATTATGACTATGTCTCCATTCATTTCTACTCCTAGATGTATACCCCCAGATGTACTCTTATTTCTAGGGGAGTAGAGGACAGCAGAAGATTAAATGGTTGGTATGACTTAGAGATGGAGGTCAAGAGAAGGATAAGATAGCTCCTAGCCTACCAAAAGCAGGCTTTCCCCTACACCTCCCATCACAAAGCTAAGCTGGAGGGGAAATGGTACACCAGTACCCGTAACCAGAACACTATGCATTCAATAGTCTTGTTTTCACACATAACTGCAGACAAATATCTTCGTGATGAGAGTCCTCTAAAAAGTGTGGATTTCCCATTGAACCAAAGGCCACCCAGTGACTTGAGGAATATTTGTTAAAGGAACGCCTAGAATGTTATGAAAGCTGAACTAACAGTCCCTTGCTTTTCTAAGAAAGATCATTTCTGAGATTCAGTGTGATGCATACCATGTACAACTGAATTGAGACAAATTTTTGCCCAGTACCTGGGATGATCAGTTTTGCAATACTTTTCACATAGTCTCTTTTCTCTTCCCTACTCTCACTGTAGCTATCAGGATTGAAAACAGAGGTCCTCTAGACACTATTTAGTGGGTTTCCTATGTAAGAGATTCTCCTACTGACCTGTGGAAGACACCCATGATATTGGATATAATCTGAACTCAGGTTTTAAAACCACTTTCCCTGTGCCTCATGCATTTAGCTCACTCCTCTCCTTTAGCGAACACCTTCCCCCAAAGTGTAGATTGTTTGCATGGTACACACTGTGGTCCTCTCAAGGAACCTGCTTACTGAACCTGACAGAAGAATTTTGATCATAAGTAATTCATTGCTTAAGAAAAGAATTCCAATTTTACAATAATCTCCTCTTGATGTCCATTTCATTACCTTTTGGAGTATTGAGGAATTTTTAGCTACTATGTGAATAACTTGTACTATCCCCTTTCATGTGAGTAAATTTTGAAAGGCAAAAAAAAAGAGAGACATGGATTAGCATCTCTGTAGAGGAGTCATCATAAATAAGGATCAAGTTTGGAAAAGAAGAAAAAAGAAAGACAAGGCAAAAAGAGTTTGAAATGCAAAGATACTAACTTTGTTCACCATGGTCACCCAGGCCTGTTTTCCAATCCAATTTTCTGCTGTTGGTTTTTCTAGTTTCTTTACTAAGGACAAAACTGAACTGACAGCTTCATAAAATGTTATCATCACTTGATAAATAAGGCTACTGAGGCTCAGGGCAATTGTTTGAATTGCCCAGGGTTCCTGGGGAGCTGGAAATACACCAGTGGTCTGCTCTTCATCTTGCTCTGCAGAGCGGCACCATGCTTGGAACGGCATGCCCAGGGTTCAGTATGTTTCCATGACTCAGGAGAAAATCTGGGTCCCTCAGATAACAGCATCTGCATGGGGAAAGCCAAGGTAAAGCTGGAACCGGAAAGCAAAAACACTATGGCAAGATGTTGCAGCCACATTTTGAGTGTCTCATACCATAAGTTATACTCCATGTTATTAAATCGCACAAAGTTATAACTCCGTGTTATTAAATCTCACCACAGCACTGTGAGAGAGATGAGAGTCTGCCCATTTGTCACATGAAGAGACCAAAGCACAAAGAGGTTAAATGATTTGCCCAGTTTCCATGGTTTGTGAATTTCACCACTGGAAATCATTCACCACTCTTTTTCACTGTGGCTTTTCTCTCTACATTTCTCCCTCCTGTAACTCCTGTGAAAACTGGAATTAAGACCAAATTTTGCGTCCAGTGGTATAACTACAAGCTGGTCCTTTCTGATCTACATAGACAGGCATTTTGCAGAGCAGGGCCCAGATATATAAGGAATAAATATAGCAAACAACCTGGGAATGTGAGGCAAAGAGGTCCACAATTTTAAGGCCAACCCAGGCAAATTATAAGACCCTGTCTCAAAATTAAAAAGAGCTAGAGTAATAGCTCTCAGCCTTCAGTTCAACTTCCAGTTCTGCAGAAAAAAGAAAAAAGCCAGCTCCAAGACCCCAGGGTAGCACAGAGTTCTGGCAGCCTGCTCTCAGGGCCAGAACCTTCTGGGAACATGAAAAAGAGCAACTTCAGAGCCCTAGAAAAATTCCTCTGGCCTCATCTGGTGAAGGGAGAAAAAACTTCCATCCTAGATTATGGCCAGAGATAGTCTGCGTTGGCCCGCTCCAAAGAGACTAGGACCTTAGCAAGAAGGCCCAATGGATCCAACGTGTTCAAAGTGCACAACTGAAACCCAACCACATATGCATTCCAAACACCGTGTGTGTGTGTCTAGATTTAAACTACCACAATGCAAACAAATTCTATCAACACAATTTTAATTTAAGGATTACAAACTTAACAAATCTAGTGGGTGGTCTAAGGTTCAAAGAAAAGAAGGGTCTTTCCCAAATACTGAAATGGAGGGGTACCAAGTGGGAGATTTTCTGGAGGCTCTAACCTCTATACTCTTTTCCATAGGCCTTTTCCACCATTGTCTGTGTGCTCCCTCCTACCTGTTTTTATCTTTTCCCAGCTTTTAGCTTTTGTACCCATGACTTAATTCCACTAAGTAATTCCTAGGGAAATTAATTACTTACCTTTACATTGTGAGAAGGTTTAGAAGGCTTTAGACAAATTATGTTTCCATCATTATTAGATTCATTTTGAATTAATACTTATGACCCTGGAATCTATAATCTGTTTTCTGCTCCTCAGTCATTTACCCCAATAGTAGTCAACATCTACTCTCAGACTTTCATTATCCAATACCACTTTCTCATACTGCTTTAAATGAATGTTTGAAAAAGAAGCAGCCATTGAGAAGTTAGGAGTTGTTGGTACTCTACTGTAGGAAAGCAGCCCTCGGACAAATGAGTGTTAAATGACACGGAGAGACAAACCATGTGTCCCAAGAAATGCCATAAATTTAACACGGTGAAATGAAAGTATGATTTTGTCACCTGGCTGCATGACACACTGCTGTCAAGAATTATAATTACATGAGAGATCGCTAAGTGTATTATCTCACAGAAAATTTAAAGCATCCTTTTTCAACCTGTTCTCTCTCCTCTCTGTTGTTGAATTAAATCAATGAGATCAATTATGACCAAAAGTCTTTAACCTTCAGAATACCTTGAGATCTTGAGCAAATTTTGAAAATTTTCCTTTATTTCTTCTACTTTAAAATAAGCTATTTATTTCTACTACCATGAAATAATGGAAAGATTTAAAATATCACCTACATATACCATGAGAACATATATAACCACATGTGCGTGAACACACACAAATTTTGGCACACATTCCTAGACACAAATTCCTATAATACATAGATCTAATAGATTAAAGAAGACAAAATCTCAACAAGCAGAAACTAAAGTTTACTGGCAGTAGAAGTAACTCTAAAAAAAAAATCCATCCAGGATTTAGCACAAGTATTTATATTATCAATTCTCTGATCAGTAATATCAAATTAGGAACAGTAAATAACTAGCAATATTAAATTAGCTATCGGAGTAAGTAAAGAAGATGTGCGCGTGTGTGTGTGTGCATGCATGTGTGTGCATGTGTGTGCATGTGTGTGAGTAAATCTGCATTCTGTTCCGTATGTTCAATAAGGGAGACTGAAATATTGCCTGTTCTTTTCAGGCTGTTTACTTCTCATTATATCTGTATTATATCCTTTGCTGATCAATTGACCTTCTGTCATCTTTAGGTATTTCTTTGGTCGCTCTTGTTATTCCCGTTTCCTTTGGAATCTATGTTAATCACAAATGGCCCCAGAAGGCAAAGATCATACTTAAAGTAAGTATCCCACACACAGGCTGCGCAATGCCATGCTACACAGTAAGAACTGGAACAAAGATCTCTCCATCTATTACATGGCTTTATTCTTGTATAAGTTAACTACCTTCTGGGGGGCCTGAAGTTGTGAGTCACATAGTTCTCTCTCCTAGAATGCCTTTCTTGGTCCTATCCATGGGGCAAATTTCTATCCATCCTTTGGGACCCAACTCAAATATTCACCCCTTGATTTTACTCCCCTCTGTGCTCACAGAGCATTGCTGTTACCTCTGCTATGAGACTTTTTGTTACACAGCCTATCCAGGCAGAGATCTTGAGTAACACATGACCTGTTTCTAATTTTTGTAACTATATGGTTCATTCAGTGCCAGGCAATTGGCTTATTTCAATATATGGTAACCATGCACTGCCCTTCACCAACTATACAGATATGTACACAGATGATACAGATAGGTTCAGTTGCTTAGGGGATAAAATAAGCTAATTAGTATTGTTTCTCTGGACAAAAACAAATAATAATTAAACATGTAATTTAAACTTCACACAATATAAAACTGTAAAAAGAAGAAGACAGCAGGGCCTTTTCAACTTTACAGTTTTGTATCTATTTTCTGATTATCAGAACCATCATAAAATGTAGCTGAAGCAAGATTTTTGTCTGCAACAACAAATAAAGAAATCAAGATTTTTTTTTAAATTCATGATTTACCAAAGGAGACAAGATAGCAGGAGCAGAATGTGGAAGCCAAGTCTTCTGGGCTCTTTGGACTTGAGTTTCTTCCTCTCTGACTGGATAATTTGCAAGTCAGAAACTCCTCGGGTTAACTGAGCATGACTAGGACAGGTCCTGTGGTTTTCTTAAAAATTAAAAAGCGTGAAAGTTTCCAGTTGAATGTGGCCCTCATGGTAGAGCTACATGGAGAGGTAGCTGGGTTTTCACACCCAGGTAGAAGCTGTCTTCTTAGCCTTTGAGCCCTATAGGCGCTCCTGTCTGCGTGGCTTGTTCACTTGTGTCTTTGTTTCTTTTTCTTTTTTTTTTTAATTTTATTTAAAAGGAAAAAGAGAAAAACACAAAACAAAACAAAGCAGGGTAAGGGTACACGTAATACAGAACTACAAAAAAAAAAAACAGTAAGAAATCACCTGTTAATAGATTACATATTATCATCTTAGAAATAGTTGCTCAAATCACAGTATCAAAGAATACAAAGTGGACATTCAAACAGTGAGACTGCAAACAGCTGTGTTCAATGATCCAAAAACATTAATATAGTCAGCTATTTAACACCCCTAAACACACTTGCTGTTATATCCGTGAGAGCTCTTTTTTTTCCCCTCTCTTTTTTACAACAAAATTTACACATTTTGGATTTTATTACTCCTTAGTTCTTATTACTTTTTTGGGGGGGAAAGAATAAAGTCAAATATGGCAAAACAAAGCTGTCAGTCAAAACCAAGAATAGACATAGCACATGATGTAAAACAGAGTACAAGGTTATCAACAATGGTTATCAGTGATGTCTCTTGTTTCCTTAAAAAGAATTGTCCATCTCATTAGATATTATAAAGTTGAACAAAACAGTAGAGAACAAGACCAATAAAACTTAGGCATTGTAAACATTACAGGACTTCCAAAGGAGACAATAGTCAAACCAGAATGGGCATCTTAGTGAATCTTATGGCCTTCAAAGTAGCTGCCTATACCCTCAAACTTGATTAGTGTCTTTGTTTCTTACAGGTCGGGTCCATCGCAGGTGCAGTTCTCATCGTGCTTGTGGCTGTAGTTGGAGGTCTGTTGTACCAAAGCGCCTGGATAATCGATCCCAAACTGTGGGTGATAGGCTTGCTCTACCCCATTGCTGGTTACGTCCTGGGATTTTTTCTGGCTAGAATAGCCGGTCTGCCCTGGTACAGGTATGGCCAAATCCGATTGGGAATTTTCATTGGCAACAGCGGTTGCATAGTTGCATATGTTTGCTGTGGCTGCCACAACAAAGTGCCGTGAACTCGGTGGCTTAATAGAACTTTACGGACTCACATTTTCACAGACAATGAGTCCTAATGAAGGTGTTTACCTGCGTGGTTCTTCCTGAGGGCTATCAGGAAAGGTCTTAGTTTAGTCTTGTACTTGGCTGTCTTTTCCTTACGTCTCCACACACCCATATGGTTCTTACGTGCCTGTCTCTGTGCCATTTTTAAATAAGAAAACTAAACATATCGAGTGGGAACCACCCTAATGACCTCATCTCGTATGATTTCATGGGCAATGATCAGATTTCCACGTAAGGTCTCATATCGAGGTAGAGCTTCCACTCATGAAATGGAGGTGGGGACATAATTAGGCCAGAGCAGCAGTAAATACTGATGCTGAGCTGAAAATCCTTCACTTTTAATCTCATCTGCCCTATTTCTGACTACATCATTCTAAATAAACACATTCATTCTTAAAATAACACAAGTCCCTAAAAAGAAGATGTTGACTATCTTTACACTCATTTATGGATTTATTTACACTCAAATTCTTCCAGACCATTCTCCATTCAGTTCCCGGCATGCTTTTCCACTGTTGTACATTCTTATTCTCCAAGCAGAGTGGCTTTAACAAAAGCAGTGAGTTTGGCCTTGGGATACCCATGGATTCTTCCAGCGATTGGCAGGATGCACTCTCTTAGGATTGGGTGCTATGTAAAAACGTTTCCTTTCCTAGCCCATCTAAAGCAACAGACAGGGAAAGCACAAGTGGAGAAGTTGGTGCACCTGTGAGGCTGGACAGGGGAACAGTGAGACTGGCCACATTGCATCCCCTACCACTCGCCAGCTATGGGTCTTTGGGCCGAGCACTTTCCCTAAGTTTCCTTACCTGTAAAATAGGGATAATAATTCCCACCTTGCAGATTTTTAAATGATATTTAAATCAAACTGCAACTGTAACAAATACTGTATCTCGAGTATTTTCTGAGCCCCTGACCTGTGCTCTGTGCTGTTACCAAGGACATCATTGAAAAGGATAAGGTGAGCATTATTTGCCATATATGGAGCACTATTATAAATGATCCCACTCCTCAAATACCAGGGGTTAAGCACAAACATTGTGCATGAGCAAATTGAAACATCTAAAACTTATTACAGTAAAAGAAACATTAATCTCCCTTGAGGTACTCAACTTCACTCTGAGCATGCCACTTTCTGGAGCTGTTCTGGAAGCTTCTTTTAGAGGGTCTTCATAAGGTGCAATGGAAAGCGTGGCGGAGGCTGCTGCCAAGGGTCACCCAGCGGGACAGCAGGCCCAGGAAAACATTAGGCTGTACCCTCACCCACCATATTCACTGGACCTGGCACCATGCGACTTCTGGCTGCTCCCTAAATTCAGATGACTGTGAAAGGTGAACATTTCTAAGCAGTTCTAGACATGAAGGCAGCTACAACTCAACTAAAGAGAAGATAGGAGATTTCCAGAACTGCTTCAGAGAGTGGCAAGAACAATGAGACAAGTCCATTCCAGACAAAAGGGACTGTTTCCAGGTAGATTCATGGAATTGCATGTACACAAACACATCCTATTTTTGATCATGCCTCATAGGTATATATTAAGTATATTTAGATCATATTATTATGTAACAATGTATTTATTCAGTATAAAGACGTGTCATTTATACTGAACCCATACACATACATTATATGTCCTCGTTCCACTCTTGCCCTGAATGTTATACAATGACACAGCAAAGCAGCACCAAGCACACAGGCTCTCTTTATGCCCTGGCAGGTGCCGGACAGTGGCTCTGGAAACCGGGATGCAGAACAGCCAGCTGTGCTCCACCATCGTGCAGCTTTCCTTCAGCCCTGAGGAACTCAACGTGGTGTTCACCTTCCCGCTGCTCTACAGCATCTTCCAGCTCGCCTTTGCAGCAATACTGCTGGGAGGTAGGGGACCCCGCCAAGTCAATGCCACCATCGTGTTCTTCTCCAGGAAATTTCAGTTGCTAAATGGTTTTTTTAAAGAATTATTTGCTCCCAGCAGTGAAATGTACCAATAAAAGAGAGCAAACTCTGCCCTCGTAATATCATCATGACTCCCCAAATGCTGCTGAAAAAATTATAATTTCATGAAACAGTTTTAGCAAAGTGAAAAATGATGGTGATGGATTCTTTCCACTGACTGGCTTTTACTCGATAATTAGATATATCGACCCCTCAGATGTATTGTATTCTGTTTTCTTAAATGCTTCCAAGGAGTCCAACATTTTGGTGACTTTCCCAATTTGATGTCTTAACATGCCTTATAAATATAGAATATTTATCAGAAAAGTAGTATAGCAGAAGATATTTAACAGATTGACTCATAAGGGAGATAAATATACATAGATAGATACAGACGCTCAATTAATAGAATTAAATCAGTTTAAGCAAAAATGTTCTTTAAAGTACAGGGGCTAGTTGACCCAGTTCCTAATTTTACTTTGCTATGGCATAAACTTTGATCTCCCACGAGGTCTCCAGCTATCAGCCTTCACCCAGTTGTGATTTTTCTATGCATTTTACTTTCTAAGATGGGTGATATTTAAACTCTATTTTTAAGTTCTATTTTTTTCTTAAATAAAGAAATTACTTTCAAAGCTTCGTGGCATTTTAATGGGAAATACAAGGTGAAGTCAGATGACAAAAATAATGGGAACCTTACCTTTTAAAATGTCAGGAGACATTATTTTCTTTTCTATCTTTTCTTTTCTTTTGTTTTCTCTTTTATTTTCTTTGCTCTTTCTACTTAGCTCCAGTATGCATTCAGCTGCAGGAGCACTGCTTTAACTAAAGTCTTTTCACTAAAGGCCATTGGTCGAGGGTCTTGGGTGCTGGGACACAGCATACGGCATGTTTATTGAGGGCTCCCACATCAGTTAGCATATGACAGCTGGGAAAGAAATACCTCGTGTTCTTATTGTCACACAGTTTCACTTGCATTGCTGAATCCTAAAGGAGTCTTGTGGTTGCCCTGAGCAAATGGCCCTGAAGTTTTTCTAGGGTCTTACCGAAGTGCAGTCTTCTCTCTTACCACAAAGAGTCACAGACGCAAGAATGACAATGTTTTCTCTCAGCAGCCTGTGGTCTATAGAAAATGCAAATGGCTCCATGAATCATGCAACATAATCACTGTCTAAAGTAATTCTGCAGCTTATGATTATGAAATTTACTTAATCTCTTGTGTATTGTTTTCCAGTCTATTTTGCATACAGGAAATGTCAGAGGAAAAATGATAAGAACCTTCCAGAGGATAAAGACAACAAAACCCAGTCCGAGTCATCCTCTCCCAAGACAAATGAAGCATTTCAACCAGACTCCTAAAAGGTACACACAAAGAAGGCACAAAAGAAAACTGCTAGAGAACATTCTCAAACTAGAAGTATGGTGAATTACTTGTTTTGGTGGGAAATCTGACAGGAAGAAGTTCAAGTGCAAATGTGAACTGAGTACGCATTGGTTTTGGTACAAAGGGACTTATGGTCCAATTAGTTAATGGGTCAAATACTATTTGATACACATATATACACAAACGCTTCATTTATATGTGCATAAACATACACAAATAGATACAGATATCTGTTAGTAGCTAAATCCACAGATACCCCAAGTTTCAAGTTCATTCCAAGAAGGTTTTTCCCAAGTGTTTTTATGTATTCCCCATGACCTTTAAATCATCTCTTTACGACTTATTTTCTTTAATTTTTTATTTTTTAAAACATAATAAAACCCAACACAACAAAACAGAAAAATCCAATCACAATAAAATGGTGAAATAGGTACAGAATCTCAAAGCAGGATACTAGGAAAACAACAATGACTACCACAGTGTATCTTGTTATCTTCACAATAGCTGTCCATTCCATCAGGCACAGCAAAATCAAACCAAAACAAAATCAAATAAAAACAATTAAAACAGAATATTGAATAAAGCACAACAGTTCATTGGAACAAAGCAAAACAGGAGGACAGTATTTGATCTCAAAAATAAGACAGAAGGAAATCCCTCATATTTGGTATATTGCACACTGTCATCCTCCCAATAGATGCTCAGACCACTGGCCCCAGGCCTGCGAAGTCAACCAAATAAAACAAGCATTCAGTTGCTTTTTGTAGCTCAGTTGCTATCAACTCAGCCTGTTCTCCAAACCAGCAGGTTGACTGGGGCAGGGGAGTTGGTGATTCTCAGCCCAGAAAGGCTTCCCAGAAAGGCTGGCATGTTGGCTTGTTGGTTGGCTCTTCCCAGTCCCAACATACCAAACACAATATAAATACCTTATATGTGTTATAAATAGCTATTATATTATATTGTGTAGGAAATAAAGACAAGAAAACAATCTGCATATGTTCAGTACAGACCCAATGTTTATTCAGGTATTTTTAACCTGCAGCTGTTGGTAACATCTGTAGATATGGAACCTATAGACAAGGAGGGCCAGCCATAGACTGCATATGCACTGTCAGTATCATCTCCCAACACTACCTGTAGGTCTACCATGACATGGGAAACACTGAGACCTTCACAGAGACCTTCATAGCACCTAGACTGAATTCTAATGCAGGATCTTAGGACCCAGAAACAAGCACTTTTTGTATGTTAAGATAGATATAATAAATTATTACTGTAAAATGATCAAGAGTTTCTTCAGTATTTATGATTGCAAAAAGATTGACATGAATGCCTTTTGCTGACACTTTAATCATTGTTTTGAAAACTTTGTAACATATTTATATATAGATACATAGATATACATGTATATATAAATATATAATATATGTAAATATATATCTATATATAAGTATATATATATCTTTATAGCATAATATGTGCAAATATTTGACTTCTTGTACAAAACAATAGATTCCTCTATCTACTATGTAAAATACCATTGAGAGAAGCAGTGCTAACTAAAATTCAGTAATCAAATTAAAACCAGGTTCTTAATTCATCAAGGATATTGTACACCTGTTGTGCTATCTCCAGTGTCCACTAATTCTCACTAGATCTTTCAAGGAAAAAATAAATTATTTCTAACAATCTGAGTTTAGCAAATAACTCTCAAACCTGAGAGAGGGACTTCCTCAAGTTTTATCTGTGTGAAACAGATCCTGATTGGCTAATATGACAGCTATTCAGTTCATCTGAGGCACCCACAGCAGGTGTCCTGCAGGCAGGGGGCAGGAGGGACAAAGCCAGTAGCAGGACAATGAGAAATACTCTAGGGTATGAATTAATACAATAGGAGATAATGGGAAGACATAGGAAAGCACAAATAACTGAAATATAGTTGAATTATTAAACATAGTCAATTTGTGTATAGCAGGAAATAATATTTTAAAAAATCAAATCTAGAAGAGCTCAGAGTGTTAAACAGTATTGGAGAAGAGGACACATCTGGGCGAGAAATAGAAAGAGCATTTCTAAGAGAGTCTGTAGATGCCCGGGAGCAGCTGTCATCAGTGGAAGTAAGTAGGTTGTGATAAACAGAAGCACCAATTCAGGGATGCCCAGGAGAAACTATCAGTCATATGCTGCCCTCTCAATTATGAGATCTAATTTAATTTCCTTTCCCTCGTTCTGCAGAAAGGTGTGTGCACATTCCTTACTCAGCCTAGGGGTTTCTGCCCATATTCATTGCCTCATAGGTTCCCTTCAAATGTTTTCACTTCAAAAGACTGCATTTGAGTGATCCAAGTTCAAAACCTAATGGTGCATAGGAAGATTACAGGAGCAGAAGCTCAATTTGTCTCTTCCAGTAGAGGGATGAGGGTTTCTGCTATTAGAAGAACATTTATATCATTTTATAAATTTATTTATAAAATGAACATTTATATCATTTTATAAATTTATATCATTTATATCATTATATAATTGTAAGTGTTCACACTTACAATTGAAAAATGATCCTTTATTTTTCCAACATTACACCAATATACTGATCATGAACTAAAGATATTTTTAAGGGATAGTGGAAGAAAGAGGGTAGAAATTTTCTCCATGGAGAATCCCAATGGCCTCCAAGAGTACCAAAGGCAGACTTTTAGTCTAATTGTTAAGTACCTCCTACACTTTCCTCATCAAACAGAAAATAGACAGATGCGCTAAAGACATGCTGTGAATTCGTATCAAAATTTCAACTCAGCCAAAGTCAAGGGCCTGATCCCTGCAGCTGCAGCAGCATGCTTGGTATTCCTCCCCATTGAGATATGCGAGACAGAACTTGGCTTTCTTACATGATGTGGTGCCTTGCTAGCTGTGGTTTTTTCCCCCTGATGTGCTAAAGGAAAGAAATATACCTAGGCTTTCTAAAATGACAGCTCTCCACTTTAAAATGAGTTTGAAAAACTGATTAAATTATGTATTTTATTGCCTTTGTAATTATCGCATTAAATGAATATTTTATTTTAAAAGCTTGAATAAATGAAAATAAATTTTTTGCAATGTCTGGTCTTGTTGAGTTTTTGGGAAGACTGTCAAGATGTTCTCACTGTTCAACTCCAGAGCAATAAATAAGATGAGGTTTCTGGAATCTTCAACTATTCCCCGAAAAGAACCTGAAACTCTTTATTAAATACTTTAATAATTAGGTCTCCAACTGATAACAACTGAGGGCTTTCTGAGAAACATTAATCGAAGCCTCTTTAAAAAGGTGTGACAGTAAGAACCAATTTAAAATAATCACGAAAGTGCTTCATGTGTCTACCAATAAAACCACTACCTGTTATGAAATGCTGAGACAGATGCATAGATGGAGATACAGGTACATGGATGCTCTCAAGAGATGCAGATTGGTAAATTCACACAGAGATGCAGATTGGTAAATTCATATGCTAACATCTCTCCTCTATGATAAATGAAGAAATTCAGATGTCACCCTCATTTGATACCACCAAAGGAGACATCATCTTGTTTTCCAACTGAGAGACATCTAGAAGACTCTCACTCTCTCATAGAGGACCACTATTTATGTCTCTCAGAACACTCAATCTCCCATTGCTCTTCAGTCCTTCATCCATTCAGAAACCTTGTAAGTCTTGAACAACAGGCTTTAAACAGTAGTATTAGTACCCATGCGAGATCAAGAAATTGTTGAAGGGATATGTGGGAATGGACAGACAACCAGCATCCATTTCTTCAATCTTCATGTGTATGCTTCCCAAAAACTGCCCTGCCTGAAATGCCCAGGGCTTCAGTTATCCTAGATCCTCCTTTACCACCTCCTGTTCCGTGGCCAGGATTCTTCCCTCACCAAAGGAATGCCTTCTCATCATTCCTATTCCTGTTATGACACGTTGTTCCAGAGGGAAAAACCCAGAAAACCAAACAAACAATTCATACTCCTATAGGAGAGAAAAGAATCTGATCTTTCCCTGTCCTGTTCTCATTTAACCATTTAGAAATGGAGGAGCTTGGGCTGGCAGTGTGGCACATGCCTGTAGTCTCAGTTACTAGGGAGGCTCAGGTGCTAGGGTCATGAATTCTAAATCAGAGTGGGTAACTTAAAGAGACCCTGTCACAGGAGGGAAGAAGAAAGAAGGAAGGAAAGGAGAAGAAAAGAAATGAAAAAAAAAAGAGAGATCAAAACAAAAAGAAATGGAGTAGTTGAGCTGTGTGGGATATGTTGGATATAAAATTAATATAAAGTAGGCTGATGCTGAAGACATTGTGTTTACCTAACAGCTCTTTCTTTATTCAGGGAAACCACTGCCCTCTGAGGGCACTCCCAAGAGGGCTTGAGAAGGAACAAGAGCATCCTTAGACAATAGAAGACAATGAGGTTTTTCCTCAAAATATACAAAGCTATGGCAAAGGGCTGAACTTTATCTATCTTAAAACCATAATTCAGATGGAATGATTCAGCACCAGGACCCACATTAATATATTTGTTGCAATAGAAAGTGCAGCCAGATTTTTTTTCTGACAGAAAAATCTCATTTGGCTTAGTTCAAAAAAGGCCTTTGCTTTGTAAGTTAAGAAATATTCAAGGAATTTTCTTATTAATTAAATGAGATCAATCTGTAGTTACAACATTTTTAAATATATCCAAACATTGTCAGATAATACATTATAAACTAATTGATTTAAAACATACAAAGAATTCAACTCAGTAATAAATCAAACAACCAAATTAAAAATAATCAAAGTTATTTCAGTGGATAATTCAGAAAATATTGGCAGCTAGAGAAAACAACCACAATGCAATGACAAATAAGTACATGAAAAAAAAGTTCCACATCATAAAATGATTGCATAATTTAAACCAAAATAAGGTGCACTTCATGCCCAATAAAACAGCTCATATGAGAAGATACTAACAGTAATAAATGACGACAAGGATGTAAACAACAACACTCATTGAGCACCCATGGCATAATAACTTTCTGAAACACTCTACGGATTTTTTTAAAAGTTAAGCACCGCTAACCATATAACCAAAAATTTCATTTCTTTCCTTAAACAACGCCCCCTGGAATAAAACAACAGTACCAAAAAAACAATCAGGGCTGAAGAATCTGTGGAGGGGTTGAACTGCCATAGTTCATGACAGAACCTGTTGGGGTAATGAAGATGCACTGCACTATGACTTTGGTGGTGGCTACACAACTTTATATATTTGTTAAATTCACAGAACTATGCATTTAAAACTGATAAACCTTATTGTATATAAATTTAGCCATACTCAAACTGATTTAAAATTTTATTAGTCAGGATACACCAAGAAAATTTACCCCATGTTTTTATTTTCCCAGCCTTTAAGAGGACACTAAATTAAATTTGAATCTCTAAGTGAAGAATAACAGACTGTAAGTGCTATTTGATAGTTCTATTAAATCCTTTAGTAGATAATTTCCCAGAAGTTGAAATAGTGAATTACTTCAGTTACAGAGACATCTTGAATGATCAATATTTCCAAGGTTTTTTTTTGTTTTCAACAAAACTGAAAAAGTATTCCATTGAGTTGTGAACTTTTGCATAGAAAAAAATTTTGATGATAAACCATGTTATGCATTACATCTAAAATGTCCCCTAAAATTCTTACATTTGGAGGTGGAACCTGGTCAGCAGGGTGATACTGGAAGTGTGATTTGGAAGGATGTATTCTAGCACCTGGATCTTGCTTTTCCTCTTTGCTTCCTGGTTGCCATGTGTTGAACAACTTTGCTCCACCAAGTTATTCTGCCATGTCATTTCTACCATGGAGGCAGGCAACCATGGACTGCACCCACCGAAACTAGGAGCTAACATAAATCCTCCAGCTTTAAGTTGAAAGTGTATCCCAGCAGCAAAAAAACATGACTGATGAACTAAATTAATACAAGGATGGGGTGGTTGTGATTGTATCTGACCATGGTTTGGAAGTCTTCAGAAATATTTTGTAGGTGGAGTTTGGGAAGATGTAGAGATGCAAACCAGAGAAGTCCTAGAATGTTGTGAAATGTGCTTGATGTAAAATACTGGTCAGAGCTGAGAAGACCAAAATGTAGAAATATGGAGAGAAAACTGCCAGGTTTTAGCTGGGAACAAGAACTCCATTCACAGTTGGACTAGTAGTCATGTATGTTATGCTTTAGCAGAAAACTTGTCAGTCTGTGTTTTGCCCATGTCCTAAGACTTAGAGGGAGACTGAGATTAAGAGTGACAGATTTACTAATCTTAAAGAGGAAATTTCAAGATAGCCTAATATTCAGGCGATGGCATGAGTATTCCTGACTTCTTTTAATTTGATTTAAAGTGAGAATCAGTAACAAAGAGCAAAGCTGAGTGATTTGAAAATCTTTGCATCTCTACATCTTCCCAAACTCCACCTACAAAGTATTTCTGAAGACTTCCAAACCATGGTCAGATATAGTTTTGTCAGAAAGAACATAATTTAAAAGTTAGAGCAAAAAATAGTTGTTTAAAAGATTAGCATTTTGCAAAATACTTTATATAGGGACAAGTAAACAGATGTGTTGAAGGCATCCTAGAAAATCCCACCCATCTCAGGCTCACGGGTGCCAAACTGAAAATCTTCCATTTGAGAAGAGATTCCTGGTGATGCCTTCTCATTCAGGACTGAATAAGGAAGTGTACCCCTGAGTTCAGCAGTGCTGATAGTCAAAAGATGCTATAGCCTTCATCTGAGAAGATCTGGCTATCACTCAAGCAGATGGCTGATCTTGGTATCATCTATGTGGTGCTGATTTCCCATGCATGCAGAATGCAAAAGCTATGGGGTCACTGAGCCTTCCACACAAATTTTAGAAGGCCTGGGAAGCCAGGCAAAAAATACATGATGGAGTCACCGTCTGTGCCACAAGATGATAATAAGGCAATTCTTGAAGCTGAAAGTGCAGTGGAGGCAGAGGTGGACTTCTGCTGAGGAAAGCCTTATGCAATGAGCAAAGCCAGCCTGATAGAGAGGCCACATGGGCTGCAGCCAGCAAGGGCATAGGGGAAGGGTTGTGCAAGCTCATTGGAGTTTATATTCACCAGATTCTACCCCAAGGGTTGGATTTACAGCCTCAGAATTTAATGCTTGTCCTGCTGGCCTGATATTGTTAGCCCTTCATCAAACAATGGAAGCATTTAATTTTAGGTTTTTTTGTTTTTCTCAGGACTCACAGCTAACACTTTGCCTTGAGTCTCAGAGGGGACTTTGGACTTAGACTTTTCAGCAATGCTGCAACTATTAAGAATTTGGTTACTGTCAAAGATGGCCTAAATGCTTTTTGAATATTGAGATGGACATGAACCTTTTGGAGACTGGTGGTGGAATGTTGTTGTTCAGCTTGAAGATGTTCCTCCAAAATCTCATGTTCAGATGTGGGGCCTGGTTAAAGGGGCAAGGATTGGGGGTATTTCAGTTCCCAGAGCCACACTTTTCTTTCTTCTTCCTGGTTGTCATGTGGTGAGACAGCTTTTCTCCTCCATGCCATTCTGGCAGGCATTTCTGCCTTGGAACCAGGCAACAATGTGCTGAATCTACTAAGACTGTCTGCAAAAATTTTCTCCTCTTAGTTGAAAGGGTCAGGTATTCTGTCCCAGTGGTAAAAAAGTGACTCATGTAGACTGTTATGAGATTTTTATCTTTTTGCATGTGAGTTGGAGTTCAAACTTGATGTTAAGATATACCAAAAGTCTTTCCATAGCCATCTGCCTCTTTAGAGAACAATGTTTATCAGCAATTAAATATATTAAAAAAGAGGAAGAAAATAAATACTGATCTCTGTCTCACCCTAACAATAAAACAGTTACATTATGCTTGTAGTGTTCCAGGATTTCCTCTAAGTTATTTACACCTATGAATTCATTTAGTCCCCACAATATTCTATTATTCAATATAATAATAACCCCTTTGATAACTGAAGGAACTAAAACATAGGGAGGAACATTTTGTGGAGATGAGAAGGGAATCTGAGAATAGTTGGGGAGGGGACAACTGGGTGAGAAAGGGTAAG